CCGCCGGAAGGCGCACTCAGTTCAGCAGTGAAGCTGTGGGCAGCTGTTGATTTGCAGGTGGAGGGGGGCAGGACGCTATTGCGGCGGCGATCGCCTTTTGGCGAGCTGTCGCGCCAGCTTGTGCATGCACGCTCGCAATTTGTACAACATGCGTGCGTGCGTGCGCGCACGTACGCACGCACGCGCCTACACACACACACACACACACACACACACACACACACACACACACACACACACACACACACACACACACGCACACACACGCACACGCACAGCAATCGCACTTTCTTTTTCAAATATAATCCTAGGTGACGGCGCGGACAGTATACGCATCTTCAGCCCAACCCCCGGCCGCGACAACAGCAGCAGCGCAGACGCCGCGCCCTCGTCGTGGATACAGGTGTGCTGCGCGGAAAAATCGCACGACTCAGACGTCAACTGTGTCGCATGGCACCCCTCTGACCCCCGGCTGCTTGCGAGCGCGGGCGACGACGGCTGCGTGAGGCTGTGGCGGCTGGAGGGTGGAGCAGCCGCAGCAGCGGGCTGGGAGTTTGGGGGCGGCGGCGGCAGTGCAGCGGGGGGGGAGGTTGGTGCCGCTGCGGATTCAAGAGAAGGGGCTTAGTGGAGTAAAACGGAACAACACACACTGTACTGCCATCAAGTTTTTTGGTGGTGAAGACGGTGGAATTTGTCTGGTACAGGATGGTGGTATGTCGTGATGCAGGCTCAAGATTTTTGTGTGCTGTTCGGCAACAATGCCTCTACATACGGACGCAACAAAGCACCATGGGGAGCACGCGCACACGTTGGGGTTGAGATGAGATTTTCTGGGTGACCCATACAAAAATCTCGCCCAGCGGCGCGCGACACATGACAACCTCGTGCCCAGCGGCGCGTGGCAGACACTCCGGCCAAGAGTGCGTCCCCTTTCAAGACTTCCAAACCACCTATCGGTGCTGAGCTGTTCGGATAATGTCTCCTGCGACTCCTCGGCATCGCTCGTGCTTGAGCCCTGCGCGGTCCAACGTTGTCGTCCGGGTTTAGGGCTTTTTCGACGACGGCGTTTTAGAGCGCGCATATAGTCGGTCATGCCCATTCAGCACGTCATTTTCGTCACCGTTGCTTTCGTGCAACGTCCACTCAAAAACTCCCTGCGTGGGCACCCCTTGGCGGGAACAGCTGCTGCAACCAGCCAAGATGCGCCTGGCTGTCGCCGCCCTCGTGCTGCTGGGCGCCCTGGCCTGCGTCAGTGCATCCCCCAAGGGTGACGCCAACGGTGGGTTGAAGAGGCGGATGCCAGGCGGGGCGCTTGCCTTGCAGGAGGGGGGGGGCGGGCGGGGGTGGCACGGCCTGACGGTTCGGTTGTCTACAGTACTTCTCAACAACACCATAACGTGCCGTGCCGCGCCCACCCCGCAGAGGTCAACCAAAACATGCGCATCACCCAAATCGGCAGCGGCAACACCGCCATCGAAGACAGGTGCGCCCGACCCGGCCGCCGGCGACGCCCGCGCGCCTCACCCAACTCAGGGTCGCAACCCTCTCGAGCGCGCCGCAGCTTCCTAAATCGCACCTTTTCCGTGTCGTCGTCGCCGTCCCCAAAGCTGGCCAGCTGCGTTGCTACGGTCATCTCCACCGACAGTCGTGCCTAAACTCCCCTCCGTGCTGTTTGTGGCCCGCCTCTCATATTGCCAGGGCGAGCCAGGCCGCCTTCATCAACCAGGGCAAGGGCAACAAGATCAACCAGGACATCACGTAAGTGGGGATTCGTTGCTAGAAGATTTGCTGCTGCCCTGCTTGTGGGCGGGGCCAGAAACAACAGCAGTGGAGACACCGATTGGTATCCTCAGAGCGGTCCAGGGTGCTGACATGCTGACGCAGCGGCACGCTGGCATCGCTTGCGAGTGCCGCCAAAGCAAATGTGTGCGTTTGCATCTGCTGCCGCTCACCCAGATCAGACCGACATTGAGAGATGCTGCCGGCCTCCCTACGTGTCGTCATATATCCTGCCCAGTAAACCCTCGCAATGTGCGCACCCCTTCGTGAGTTGCCCCCTGCCTCCCCCCTAATAATCCCATCCCCCCCCTCTACCACCATGCACACGCGTGCGCACCCGCCCTCTCTGCAGGACGTACACCCGCGCCTCCGCTATCGAAGTCAACGCCGGTGCCAAGGGCAAGAAGTTTGGCGGCCGCAAGATGCTGGCGGGCAACACGCCTGCCTTCCAGCCTGATGTCGGGGTCAAGAGCAACGTCGGCGTGCAGGTGCGCGTGTGAACGCCGCCGCCGACAGCGTTTGGTGGCCCGCAACGAGCGTCTGCAAAGGGGCACTGGTGCTGTGTTTTTTTGACGTGGCATTCGGCCCGGGAAAATTTTTGTGGGCTGCAGGCGCGGGATGACTGGCAGCAGCCAAACCATCCAGCTGCTGGCGTGTCGCATGCGCCCGCTCAGCGGCGAGCCTGTGTGCCGATGTTGACCCCTCCATTTGTTCACTGTGTTTCACGGTGGTGTCTTACACCAGAGGCAGCGAAAGGCCTGCGCTGCACCCCGCCCACCTGCGACGCGGCTGCCTGTCGATTTGCCCCAACACGCAGGTCCAGCCCAACAGGAACGGTGTTAGCACCAACATCTACGCCGTCCCCCAGGTGTGAACACACACATGATTTGCTCTCCTCCCACAACCAAAGCCTCTGATGGGATCCAGGTGGCACACACACGAAGGGCTACCATGAATGCCTTTGAGCTGGCTGCCCG